GTGTTTTATACCCGATAAAACACTCCTGCTCGTTTATTAAACATTACATAAAGAACAGAATGTTTTAGGAAGGGAATATGGGATGCATGGACTGGTGGTGGTGTGTGCTGTTAGTGTACTGCCTCTTGTCACACTATATATGTTTGATCATAATGTTTGATATATGTTTGATACTTAGACATGCAGTCATATGAGTAGAGTTGTTTGTTTTCTGCTGTGCTTTAAGGGTTTTTCTTCAGGTTCACTGATTTTTCTCACTTTCCTCTTCTTCCCTGAATTCTAATTCTAACCAATGATCATGGTAAATAAATAAATAAATAAATAAATAAATAAATAAATAAATAAATAAATAAAAGTATCCATTGCTGAGAGGGGAGTGCTGTCACCGCTAGGCCACCTGTGCTACCCTTTATGCTCATTTATTTCCATTAATTATAATTATTAGTCACTGGCTATTAAGTGCTAGCCATATAAAACACAGATGACTCCTAGAGAAGGGCTCAGTGAGTCAGAATGGAATATTTTCAGAGAGTTGGTAAAGCTGAATGATCAAAATAAAATTATAAAAAAAACAAGAAGAAAACTAAATAATATTATTCGGGCCTACTTGGTTTTATTCTTGATCAATTTAGCAGCTTGTTTTAGGGAGTCTATCCTTTGTCCTTCAACAGAAACAATTACATCTCCTCTATGTAGTCCAGCTACTTCTGCAGGAGATGAAGGTACAATTGTCTCCACGAAAACTACTTTATCAATATCTGTTCCTCCATATTCTTTACTGAGAGTCATTCCGAATGATGCTGTTGTGTTATCACGAGTTATTTCCACCTAAAAACAGATTAAAATTATTATGAAACAATGTTAATCAAGTCATTAAATCTTTGACTATTGGCTAACCTAGTAGGATGAAAAAGATCTAGACATTTTAACCCTCTCCCCCACATATTCTCTGCAGCAAAGTCTAAACTATTAATATATTTACCTCAAATGTTGTCCAAAGAGCTCTACTATTTTCAGCAAGCTGTTTCCAAGGTAACACGTCAACAGAGAGTGAACAGGATAAAGTAGCAGCACCATCTATAACTGGTAATCTTGAACACCCATTGACAATAACGTMAAGTTGTCCCATGGTAATCATACTGTCGTGAATAAAGATATCCTGCTTTTCACTCTGTGGTTCTAGCTTGGGGAAGAAAGGTAAGTATCGTATCTTGTAATTTGGTAAAGTGTGTTTCTTATTGACACTTCTTCGCAAGTGATTGACCATAAGTGAGGTTAACTGTTCTATGTTCTTGCCTTCCAAGTGTGACTCTGCTTCAAATTCCATTTCTGGCTCCTGGTCAAGTAGAAAACAAGATTCAAAATGATTAATATAAAAACTATTAATGATGGTAATTGAACTGAGTGGAGTGCAATTTGGTCTGAAATCAAACGCGCGATTACAAAATCGCACGACCGCTTAGCGGGAGTGCGATTTGTAATTGCAAGTTTGATTTCAGACCAAAATTGCACGACAAGAAGTTCAATTACCACTTAATCGTATCCTTTTTGTAATCATACACAAGAAAAAGACACAATAAAGACTGCATAATAATCAATTTAATGTAGTAGAAGAACTAAATGCGAACAAAAAAACATCTAAAAGAAAAAAATTTTTGTTGATTTTTTTGTTTTATTTCGTTTTGTTTTATTGTTTAAAAAAATATTTTTTAGGATGTGATTAAGAGCTCCTAAGCATGCGATTTGGGAATTAATCGCACTCCTTTGAACCAATCAGATTGCAGGATTTGGTAGTGATTACAAAAAGGATATGATTAATATAAAAATCACCTTGAAAACTCTAGAATTTGTTTTAGGTTTCAATAAAAAAGACAGACAGAATTGTGCTTAAATTCTGAAATTCTTTTGCTTAATTACCTCATAAAATGACAGTGACCAGTGTGTACATGGATCTCTGGAGAACTGCARCCGTGCTCTTCCTCTGAGGCAAACCAGTTTCACAGAGAAATATGCCGTCTTGTTAAATAAAAAATCTACTTGAATACTCATGTGGCACCCCCCTGTATACTCTAGATCAAGTGCAATATCTAGTTCTTTGGGCACTTCTGTAGCATCCTTTGTGGGGCCAACTTTCATTATTGTTGCTCCTGATAAGAAGAACAGATTTAGTAAGTACTATATATGCTAATGTGTGATCAACTCTAACTGTTAATACCTCAAATAAAAATGGAATATTATTGCAAGGACGTATCTTTTTGGCATTTGGTATTATTACAATTCTCAATTATCCTGCAAACGCAGACATTTCAACAGCTTTATTTGTCAGAAATTTGTTTTTTACTGTCATCAGTCAAAAAGGTTTCGTCAAAAATATTAAAGGTACTGTCTGATTATTTTTTATTGATACAGGCAGCGAAAAACAAATTTCAGCATAACAGCAGCTTGCAACTTCTAAGTTTGCAGAATATTGAGAATTGCAGTCATGATATTGGATAACACCCACTTAACAAGATGCAAAGAAATTTTTTTTTTGATCCATGAGTACTGGGCAGATCAAATTCAGTGCACAGCTAATCTCAAACCAGACCAGGCTAAGAAAAACCTTCAAATTAATTACAAGATAGGCAGTTACTCCCCAGTCCTCCTCTGCTTTCTCCCCTACCCCCCCCCCCCTCCTGAAACTGCTGCTATGCAGGGTAATGGGTGAGAGATGAGTGCATAATCTACTAACTACACCACCATTGACTCTCTGAAGTACTAGCACCATCTCTTATAGGTCTTTCCAACATTTCAAGTGGTGGAAGCCCTTTGTAATCCCTTTCTTATATATCGCTCTTACTCATAAGAAAAGGATCTACGGCAAGTTGCAATTTTACAGCATAACATGCACACTACTGTAGTCTTTATAGGAGCAATAGCAAATACCTTTAAATACTGGTAGAGATTTTCCTAAGTTGAGATCTAAAATAGTAATTTGTTCAATAAACCGTCCAGCGGTTTTGCCATTCATGAGATCTGAGAACTCCATATTTATTTTGTTCATAAAGAACTGCTGGGTCTTGGGAGAGTCTCTCCATTCTTGCCACAGGAATGATACAAGTAGATTCAAAAACATGCATGTTTCTTTCTCTGTAGCTCCTTCACTCTTCAGGTAATCTGAGACAATCTTGAAAATAAGAGATCACATAACCAGTTAATAGATAATATATCCTAAACTTAATTATTGCCTCAAGCCTTCTAGCTTTGCACGAGTGCCTTGCTAATCAGGGAGACCTATAGGTACCAACATTCATTCCAGATGCAAGTATTACCCAGCTGTACATAACCGACATATTTGTGCCAACATACTTGACTGTAATTGCCTATTTCATAATGAGAACACATCAAAACAAACTATTGTTTTAACGCTAGGGATCCTGGTCACTGGAGGGGAATGGAATGACAACAACACATCTCAAATCACAATGAAATTTGGTTTATAAGCTGAAGGCAAGAAAGAAGAGAATCAAGCTCAAATTTAAATTTCTATCATTTCAGCTGATGTAAACAAACCGTGACGTCATTATGAAATAGGGCAATTAATATTGCTTTTTTTCTACTAGCCAATTTATTCACTTAATATGCAGCCCACTTTTTTTTATTCCAAAAGTTTATCTGCAACTTGTCTCGCAATGGCATTGCGACACAAGTTGCATGGAGCATTGCAGTGTGTAACCTATAGCAAAATTTGAAAAATATGTTTTAAGGCAAATTGTAACAATTATTGCAAGAAGTAGAATCCTTGTCTCCGTTGCACAGTGTAAATACTCGTGCAACTTGTGTTGCAATGCTGTTGGGAGACAAGTTGCAAGGAAAATTACTCAGTGTAATAAATTCTTTAGGCACAATTTTGAGAAGGTTTCTTGATCAGAGTTGGCCAGGGTTAATTTTATTTATTATAAGATATAACCATTTTCATTTACTTTCATATATTGCCAATAACTATTTCCCTATAGCAATTTGCCCTACCTTTTATTATTCGTTCTTCTTCACGTAATGACCAAGTTAATGATCGACTAACGTGCTTAGATCCAGGTTAATGTTCTCTTTAAGACCACATAGTGTTAATGTTATCAAATTTTGATTCACRATAAATCGCGCCTTCATTTTTTTAAAACTTAAAACATCGTAAAAAATAATTTCGACTACCATAAACTACAATTTATCATATTATCATTAAGTATTATTAAAGCCATCAGCAATATTATTATTATTATTTCTTGCATAACATAAATAAAGGCTTCAGCTGATCTTCCCTCACCTTCGGATTGGTCACTTTTCCTCGCTCCACAACTAATTTTGGAGTGTCTCTCTCCTTTGTAGACCACCATTTGTAAAGTAGGAAGGCTTGAACTAGTAATACAGTGAATGCCCCGGTCAGGAAGGCGAAAATGAAGGTAATAATCATGGGTTATTTTGAAGTAAACATATTTCAGGATATTCGATCTTTGTTATTGTGCTGTTCCTGACAAAAAACACTCAAGAGACTGGGGCGAATTTGGAAGCTGACATGGATGGCGGGCTCATGGTCACCACAGGAAGCCCAAGTATTCTCTTCTCTTTTGTTTTTTTCTTTTTTCTTTTCTTTTTTTACCAAAATACCGTCTCTCCAATGCACTGAAATCATTGCAACTCTCTTGCTTATTGCTTATGGCAAAATCCTGCATTTCCGTACCCCCCCGCCCAAAGCGGGAGATTTTTGTTCATTTTCGCCGCACGGAGGTTAACACAGGCGGGAGTGGATGGAAAGAAATTTTATGAGAGAAAACGGATGAAAAGAAAAGAGGGAGACTTGCGCCGTATCTACTTTAGAGATACGTTAGTTCAAGAGATTTTTCGTGTGTGAGGAGTGGATCTAAATTTTTAAATGTCGAAAAATAGCTCTGGAAAACACGTGCGCAATGTTTTGTCGCCTAAGCCGGAGGGAGACATGATCTCGTTCTTTCTCCATCCCCCGACCCCCTCAGTAACTGAACGGTAGACCTTTAATATGTGAAAATGTGAATTGAATGAATTTATGAAATAAGATCAGCCTTCAACTTATTGTACTGTAAGACATTGACCTCAACATGAACCACAAACACTAAATCTCCATAGTAACCAACACATTATAGCAACTGACGACCGACTCATGACCACAAACCACTATTTGATCGAAAATCTTGTTGGATTTTACGAGTGAAGATTTTGAACCTATACTTCTGGTTTCTTACCAAGGTTTCTGTACGAAAGACGAGGTGTTTTGATGAATAAACTAACACAAAAATCAGAGTTGGGAGGAAGATTAGGTTGAGCTCGGTAAGATTCTCAAGATTTGTAGAGAATGTAAGTAACAATACTTTAAATGTTTGGGTGATTTTAAATGGTTTTTATTTCTATTTTCCTATAAACTGCACCAGGATATCGATACGGCAGCGAGAAGCCACTAGGTTTACTATGAGTAATGAGTTCAACTGAACTAAATAGGACTCACTCTGCGGGCAGGCATCCATAACATTGATATACTAGGCTGGTACAGTTCTTGCTCTACAGTTCACCATTATAGATCATACATACGTATAATAAATTAAAGCCCTTTTCTGGCTACGGCACATTAGAACGAGGAAGTTTAGTGCCTGAAGTTTTGACCGCTTTACGAAAAATTTGGTCTGATATTAAAGAACCATATCATGATACTACGTTATTAAATTACCAAAAAAAGATACTACATTGATTAAATATATGGGTAATGCTGGAGCGTCTGTTCTTTCTAGGCCGTCCAGATTGAAATGCCTCGCAAAACCGAAGAAAAATTTTGCAGCCTGGGTGACAAGGCACAGGTAACCATTGCATGACTTCAGTGAAGCCTTTGTGGTTTTATCAGATTTTCACGCGGAGATCTAGATTCAGCCGGCTAGTGTCAGTGTAATCTACACTCGTGACGCTGTTTGGGGTCACCTGAATGATGCATACTTTGTTAGCTGGCTAAAGAGGCCTTATCTGAGTAGGCCTTGCTTTACTCTTAATTGACTATACTACATCATAGTTAATAGAATGAACTATGACTGCATTTGCAGTGGCCAATATAAGTGCGCACCAATAGTTGAAGGACTATGACTGACGTACTACTAGTATATTATTTTACCTACACAGCTCGATGGATTGGAGCAACCAGACATTGATGCGACCGATTTCCAAAGCAGCATTACACGCCAACCCAACACCACGCCTAGAACAACTCGCAACTCCCAAAAAGAACTTCCAGTTGGAGAATCCAGAATGTTGTCACAGGTTAGCGAAAATACTAATCTTATCGAAATATGGAAATATTCCGCTTAGAGGGCAAATTTGCAACCTATACTTGCCAGAGACTGAAGAATATACATTTGATTCTATTACAGGGAGCAGTTTGTTTACAGCTGTGGACGTGCATCAGTCATTTGGAAAACACCTCCACTTAGGCAGAAACAAAAATAACATCAAGCAAAACATGTGCAAACAATTTTCAAATTTCAAAATTTCAAGCATTTAAGCAGACTAAATATGCTGCAATTTTAGATCATTTGTTGGATTTTGCTCTTTCTAGACAGTGTGTGCTACGGGATATGATACTTGAATGAAACTTGTTTCCTCTCCTCCTGGTAATATCGCGCAAAAATCTTAAACTGCGTTGCGAATGCTGCAAAAACTGCAGCCTGTAACGACAGCTTAACTTGAACAGTTAAAGAGAACAGATAACAGTGTGTTGCTTCTTTTACATGAAATTATTGAATATGACTAAACAAATGAACTAAATATTATTTAGCTTTAATCTTTTCAATTCATTGTTAAATAACATAACACCTTCATTGATCCCTTTTTGGGCGTGTTTTTTTTCATTCCAGATCACGGGTCATTCTCTTGAGTAATATTTTTTCCCTTGTATAAATTCTTGAAAATATACAAAGAAACTTGTTTTGAAAAGATCTCAAATAGGTAAACATTATACGGCCAAAGTGAAAGTAAAGGGTCTATAGAATCCCTACCCTGGAATGAGAACCTGGAAAAGGAATTTACTATTATTAAAATTTCCATCTACAATATACCCATAAATAATAAATCCTCTAGCTAATAATTCTTTTGTCACTCATAATAACTGTTTTCTTACAATCTACTATAGTACACCAATCTTTTCTATTGATTTTTATCGCATAAAAATTTACAACAATATTCATGACGGTTTTGTATGTATAGTGCCATTGAAACTGAACACGCCTTGTTTGACGCCCAACAAAACCTATTTCGTCTCGAATTGTACAATTTTGCGCGTATGCTTTGGGGAGTATTATAAAAAATCAGAGGCAAAATACAATCTATAATCTTGCATTTGATTCTATAGAGCTTTCTAATGAGGGTACGTTGAATCACAGATGACGCACACAGTGACATCAACTAGAAAATCCTCAAGGCATCCTATCTATTCCCCAGATCAGTTCTTGAATTTCAATCATAGCATGGTTTCTCTGTTTTTATCTTTAAAAAGCATTGAATTTAGAAGTGCTACCCTTTCAGCGACAAACGGATTTCTTGATTTCTTCTCTCGAACACATATATGGTTGTCATTGGGTTTTTTTCTATCAATCGAGGGTTCCTTGTCGCTCCCTAGAAACGACTCTTCCAAACCAATACCACTCTCCACTCCAGTCGAACCTTCACTCTCTCTCCTTCTATCGTGTCGATGGAAATCATAATTCGTATCATAGGTTTTTACGGTACCGTTCGGTGTTCGCTGAGAGGTGTCAGAGTTCAGAGGTAATTGCCTGAAGTTATCACAAGGCTCGCAGTAGTTTTCAACGTGGTCGTCTGTTAGATCGAAGTACTTGTTGGAAGGTTCTTCGTGGATGTCTTCCAGTGATTGACATGGGATTGGTGGCAGAGGAGAGCGAGTCAGTTCTTCTTCAGTCATAGAAGACTGTGTTGACATTAGTCGAGCAGAACCGCTGAAATTATACAAATGATATAGAAATGAATTTGTGAATACAGCAAGTTGAAAAACGCTACGTTATGCCTCAAATTCCCCATTCCCAAATCGATGGTGCATTGTGGTCTAGCTTGGGTACAAACGTCTTTTGTTCATCATGCCTCATATGAAAAAAAGTAAAAACGTATTCTGTATTTATTGCACAAAGAAATAAAGGAAGTTGGTACCGGTTAAACCTGCTGTTTTTTTTTTTAGCTTTTAGCAAGCTCAACGAAGCTGCATCTGGCCAAGCAGTATTGATAGTTTGCAAGCATTCCCAGGAGAGTCAGAAAACAAGAACAAGGCGGCCATATTGGTGGTATTAACAAAGAAAGCTTATGAGAAATCTTTTGTTAAATACCTCCAAGATGTCGGCGATAAAATAACTTGTATACTATACTACTACGATATACCTAGTGCCTGAGACTTCGGAGAACGTGTCTGTTGGTTCCAGGTAGTAAATTCGATGAAGGTCTTCGTCCATGAAGACACTAATATAAGCATTGTCTGTCTCTTCCTAAAAAAATCAGTAAATGATTTCCAAGTTATATGACTAGCTAGGCCCTATGGATGCGAAGGTTTCAACTTCGCAGTGTAGACATTAGCATGATTGGTTAGTATTAGTATAAATAAGTAAGCATATCACGAGACTTCGATGAGAAAAACGTGCTCAATACAAAAAATGTACATCAAGCGAATAGTTGCGCATTATTCATAGCTCTTTTATAAGAAAAGAAAAGACTTTATTCATAGCTCTTTTATACAAGAAAGGAAAAAAAACTTTAGCTATTTCCAAAATCTAGTAAATGGTTTTCAAACAGAGTTGATCTTACGGCGGTAAATTCGCAATAATATAGTAAAAAAAAATAATAAAAAAACGAAATAAATAAATAAATAAATACATATAAATATAGAAAAATATACATTTGCTTGGAACACGCACACTATACCTACCCCTGCAATTTTCTTCTCCAGAATTCTCTCAATTCTGCGGACTAATTCAGAGAATGTTGGACGCTGACTGGGATTTTCTAGCCAGCAGTCTCTCATGATGGCGTAAATCTCAGCCGGGCAGTCCTTAGGCTGTCTCATGCGTTTGCCTTCACTGACGTAGTCCAACAGCTCTTCCACAGGGATCCCTGGATATGGTGTACCTCCCAGTGTTTGAATTTCCCACAGGATAACACCAAACGACCATCTAAGGCAAAAGTATAACTAGAATGTGCTTATTGGCCTTTCGGTATTATTGATATTCTAATCTTGATTTAGATAAATTGAAGCGCGAGAAGAAGTTGTAATTCGAGGGCTAGAATTTTCAAAAAGGAACGGCTACACAGACGTAAGACACCAATAAAAGCACTAGGTGAGCGCAGGCGCATGTTTTGGCGCGAAATTTCCCACCAAAACCACAGGAACATCGTCAAACTAACTCATGAAAGACCATTTAGTTCCAGAGGATTTTTGTTGTTATCCTTACATGGAAAAATATAAAATTTCTGAAACATGTCATTATTTGTCACCAAATACATAAAGGTGATAATGGATATCCATTAGCCCAGTTTGCAGTCCGTATTATACGTTATGGACCGCAACTTGACCAATTATAACAAGTGAATTTACCTTTCCCGTGATATAACAATACTAATAAACTTACACGTCTGTTTTCTCTGTGTATTTTCGGTCAAATAACGATTCTGGTGCCATCCACTTGACGGGCAGGAGACCTGTTGTCTGCTTTATGTACACATCAGTGTTCTTGATGTCACGTGCCAAACCGAAATCAGCAATCTTCATGACGTAATCTTCTCCTACCAAGATGTTTCTGGCCGCGAGATCCCGGTGTACACACTGTAAAGAAAACGAAACATGAAATGCTTGGTACACCTCATTTCGCACAACCCCCCTCTGGGTAATGCTCGATCTCTTATCTATTTAGACCATCTTACATTTAGACGCTGACGCATTGAAAACATATTAACTACCTTTTTTGAAGACAAGAAGTCCATTCCACGTGCTATTTGGTAAGAATACATCACAAGATCCGCCAGCGTAAACTCCGCATCAGGTTTATTAGCCGTCTTGCGCCATGTCGCCTCATAGATCTCACGATGACTGCGCAAGAAGTTCAAGAGATTTCCATGCGGTGCGTACTCCATGACAACCATCAACTGCTTGCCACGTGTACAGGCGCCAAGTAGGTTAATGATATTATTATGCTCACCAAGGTGGATCATGATCTTCAGTTCTGTCGCCAAGTCCTTGTAGTCGCTCTCGGTTGCCTCGGCTGTCGGCAACAAAGAATGCATCAGTGATTTTGTTTACAAGGTAAATTATCAGGGCACGCAGAGAGGCGGGGGGGGCAAAGCAAACAGTAATCTGCTGCATAGAGACGGTTGTAGTGTAATGTCTCTCCACTGCGGGAAGGAGGAAGGGGATGGATGGGTAATATTAGTAACGAACGTGCATCATTTTACCTATTACAAAGGAACCAAGAAAAATGTGTGCACCAACACACACCAGATAACTCTTGGCAGCGTAAAGGCCGTGGCGGACAGACGATGCGCGCAAAATTTCGACAAAGTTTTCGAGGGAAGACAAATGTAAAAAGGCTTTCCTACCAGTCGTAATATAGACTAGCTGAYTGACAACATCGCACTCTAACTAGCACCCCTCCCCTTTCCAATACCCCCTCCCCTCAAAGATATGAGAATGTTGCGTAGTGCTGCAGAAGGAGATATTGAACGTATTTCATATGGGTGACTTTGGTTTGCATTCATAATCCAAGGGAATTGTTCACCTTTAAGAGTCTTGACCGCAACCGTAGTTCTATGATACTGATTACCATCTGAATCCTGATACATCCGACTTGAACTCAACCTTCTTCTGAGCCTTGAACGTCTTTTGAAAGCATCTGAGGTCTTGTCTCGCGGTATAAATGACAGTATTCCTACTGCGTCGGCCTTCATGACTTGTCCAAACGTTCCTGATCCTATGACACCGTGGAAGACGAGTCTCTCTTCTGGGAATTCCCAGTCGTCATCGTAAGGAAGATCTTCGCATTGCTCTAGAAGGCTACGATTGGGGTCAATCTGTCAACACCACATCAATATATAATCAGAATCTAAATGTTTGCAGCATTCTCAAAACTTGTTCTGGACGTCGAGAAGAATATCTCACAATATTGCGCGCTCACATTTTTTATGTTTATATCAGAGTATTTAATACTAGTGATCATTGCGGGTAAGATATCTCAGTAAAATAATTTGCGAGGTTTTGCGGTTTCGACGCTGACGAAGTTGATTAAAAGAGTGTCATTGACGTTTTCGTCTTTAGCTAATGATGACTGTCACAAGAACAACCAAAATTTCGGAGACCCGTTTCAAACTCGCAACGTATAAAACCTTACAAAACATTATGTCTTCACCACATAATAACTAACCGGCAGGGTGTTATATTTTTACAGTGTTATCAGCGGCGGATCCAGGGGGTGTCTCAAATGAGGAGATGTATATAGAGATATTATTAATCGCTTCAAGAAAGCGTAAGAATAATTACTATGGTAGTGTGCGGACCACCGCAGGACACCCCCCGGATCCGTCCCTGCTTAATTACCTTATAGTCTTCTCCCTTCCTAAGGTATCTCAGAGCCTTGTACTCTTCGATTAACCTTCGGTTTCGCCGATGTACGTGGCAACAGAGCAAAAGAACTACAAGGAATACCAGACCAATAGCTCCCCCAACACTTGCAGCAACAATAGTTATTAGAGGATCGGTAAGACGTTGATGAGCGGGGCCGAGCAGCTCTGAAAAAGAGTATAATAGCATGTAAAATCCTTAATGACTAGTCATTTTGATATTATGAAGGAAAATAATTGGCTTTTTAGAGGAGGGGGAGGGGGGAATTGGAGAAGCTATAGAAAAACATCCCTACATTTTTTCAACTTCTGGGACAAATTTCCTTCAACTCCCCATGTAAACCCAAGACCTGTTTACGCGCTGACCGTCTTAACCAGAGTTATAGTCGGTCATAGCTTCACGCGTGCTAGAGAGCACCAAAATGGTAAGAGTTTAGTATTAGGGTAGGTGTTAGGTTCACTCCTATCTTCATGCTAACGTCGACGGAGCACTGATAGATGGAGTGGCAAAATGCGTGCGGTCGCCTTGCATTTATAGCACCAATTATTTGACATGATTTTACCTCGAACGTCAAGCTGCATGGATGCAGTCCCTACAGGGTTAGTAGCAACACACGTGTAGTTTCCCAGGCTCTCTATGTCTAATGCATGGACCTCGAGTCTTGCTGCATTGGTCCCAGACAGGCTTCGCCATAGTACAGTCGAACCATTGGTAGATATTTTTCGCCACTCAACTAGAGGGTGTGGGTTCCCTGTGGCTGTACACGTCACATTGATTGGTTCGCCAATAGGAATGTCCAGCATCTTATATGTTTTATCGCTTTGAATTCTGGGAGGAGCTGAGAAAGATTAGAATATTTGTTATGTTCAGTGGGTTTAATTCACAATAGACGTCTTTGTTGACGCCATTGGTTACATTATTAGTTAGTGACAGCTGTCACTTTAGCGGATTTGATTCACAATAGACGTCTTTGTTGACGACATAGGTTACATTATTAGTTAGTGACAGCTGTCACTTTAGTGGGTTTGATTCACAATAGACGTCTTAGTTGACGCCATTGGTTACATCATTAGTTAGTGACAGCTGTCACTCATGCGGTGAAAAGCGAGTGCAAGACGATTTTATAAAATACCACTGTGCTCCTTGATTACAAACTCTAAACTATTTCCAGTGTTGACAATAGCAATACGATCATTTTACACGAGAAAGAATTCAATGTCCGAGAGCAAAGGGATTTTATTGTTCTGCCATCTAACCACAGGCAGCCCAAGCTGCATTATGGGCGTCGGCACGTGACTGGAACACATGAATATTCTACACAAAATCGGGGATAACCCAGATTTTTCAACTGGAGCACTGCGCACAGATTAAGGCATGAAACATGTACTTACTCATTACATCGAGATAAGCTGTTTTTTGGTCGTGTCCTTTCTTGTTCTTAGCAGCACATGTATACCAGTCCGTGTGCTGCTCATGCACAACATCACAGATGAGCAAAGTATCTCGGCTTCTAGATGCCGTCCTTAGTACGTAATAACCCCGAACCTTATTATGACAGCTATCTTGCTCTATCAAGCCTGTCAGTTCAAAGCCTGATTTGTACCACGTGATGATTGCCATAGGATTAGCATCCACTTGACATGTTATTCGCGCATGCGTAATGTTGTTGAAGTAGTCGTAGGCTGTTACATTAGGGAGGTTGGTGATGTTGGGCGGATAGACGGCTGTTAAAAGATATATAACATGAAAAATAATCATTGTTTGAAGTCACCTTGCATCAAACAATTCTGTACCCTCAGATTCTGATATTATTGGATATGATCGACATGACGTCATAGATTTTCGTTTGACGTCACCTTACATCGATCAATTCTGTACCCTCAGATTCTGATATTATTGGATATGATCGACATGACGTCATAGATTTTCATCAATCCAATCTGTACGTTATACCTTGACGTCACATGTTCATTTAGTATAGTGACTTCATTTCTGTAACCTTTCAAACATCACATCTGCTTGTAAAATGAATTACCTTTGACTATAACTGTTGCTGAGCTGTTGAGCACCGTACCCCCTACAAGTGTCTTGGCCATACACATGTATACACCAGTATCACTAGCCGTAACGTTAACAATCGTTAAGGTTGTAGTTTCCTTGCTCGGATTCTTCTTCGAAGACGTTGCAATTGATATTCTAGGGTCTCCTCCGGAAACAGGGATTTTCACGCCGTTTTTTAGCCAATCAGTGAATCTTCCCTTAGATATGATACACCGTGCTGTTAGGGTTGATTCTGCATTGATTCGTTTAGTGGTTTTGATGATTGCACTTGGTGTATCTACTCCTAAGAAAGGAAAACGCGTAGTGTGAGGTTGCATTAAGGGGAGAGGAGAGGAGAGGAGAGGAGAAGAGAGGAGAGAAGAGATGGTTGATTTACTTAAGTAGCTTTGCAGAACCCGTTGAATACATTACATAGATTTACAATGCAAGACAGAAGACAGATTGCTTGAATATTGTTCAGAGATCCTGCGCAATTTTACAATCTCAAGAAGATATAAGCTCATAAACCCTTCGTGTCTTGTCCTGTCTCTTATCATTTATAAGGGCTTTTTACAACACATTCAGAAGATTCGCGTCCCCAATGCAAAAACATCCCATCTCTTCCCGTACTCCTCTGCGCTAGCAGTACTTACGAGATCTTTGAAACTGGAATATCTTGCTATCCTGACCAATGATATTTATTGCTGTACATTTATAAAAGAAAGAATCTGCTGACGATGGAATGATCAGATTGCTTGCATCACTAGTCGTGCCACTTGGTGGTTGTTGTTGGTGACTGGATGGCACAGGCACCCAGTTTTTGTTATGTGGTATACACTTATCATTATTGTCGCAGACCCTGATCTGGTAGAACCAGCTAAAGAGAGGGCGTGGGTAGCCACCAATCAAGCCGCATGAAAGCGTTTTAGCTGTGTTGTATGGAGCAAATATCGTAGAAGCCTGGCTTTTGTCGATCTGTGGAGCAGCTAAAACCATTTGTATCTTATTAGGAATAGATTACTCGACGGAAACCTAAGGTAATGTTCATTTTTCTAGACCAACTATGTCGTGATTTTCCCTTGATATAATTCATAGAGCACTCTACGCAGACTTGCAGAGAGATTTTTTCCAAGAAAACGCGCGCAGACGGATTTTTGTTTGTTATTTTGTTTTTGTTGCAAAATGACAGGGAGTGGCCGGTTGACTTGCTACCCATGCAGCAATTTCTCAAGCCTTAATTACCCTCTTTAGGTAAGCATAATTTTTCCAACGACTGAAAGAATCGTCGGTATATTGGCCGCGGAGCAAAAATGAAATGTCTTTATTCCCCCCATGAAGAGAATATTACAAAAGTAGAAACAAATCCCATGCTATCCAATTGTTGTCTCACTGTTTACGAGAGTACGATAAGCACATGTCGTTCTCACAAACCAAGGGGCATTAAGGACTTACTGTGAAAAACAACGGCTACTGATCGGCTATCTGAAAGGCCAAATCCATTCTCTGCAACACAAGTATAAGTGCCATTATCCCGTTGATATGTGGCTGATAGTATCTTCAGGCAGTTGTGACTATTAACGTGAACATCGTTTTGATAATTACACGTTATCATGGTGTACCCTTTAGATTCACAGTTGAACTGACATAGGGTCAGTTTCTTTCCATCTTTGAGCCACTGCACTTCAGGATAAGGAACTCCTCTTGCTGTACAATTGATAATGAAGTCTTGAGGTTGTTTTAAAACTATTTCTTTGGTGGTGGGGAAAGAAATGATGTTTGGAGCATCTCGAACTGTCAGAAAACAAAAACCATATGCACTTAATTAATGCAATATTTTCATGTGTTAATCATTAATAATGAGTCCATTTTTAGTGTTTTACAACTACCCCACCTTCCATTCCCAGGATTGTTAGTTTGTAGGATAACGGTGCACTCACCAAGAACAGTAACAGAAGCATCTTCTCTTTCTGTATCATCCTTTCCAATACCAGCAGAACATCTATACTTTGTCTTCAGCATTGGTGCGGCATTTTTAAAAATCAGAATCAAGTTCAGGTTATTGTTTATCTTAGTTTTCAAGACTCTATTGCTTGATATATCAGCAAATGTACTTGTATTTCCAACTTGTTTTTGCCACTTAATATTGATTAGATCTGCAGCTCGTGTGAATTTGACTTCACATGTAAGGTTGAATGAATCTCCTTGTATTTTCATCATCTGCAAAGGATTTACCTTCAAAGATGAAATTGCTAAAAAAGAAAAAACAATTTGATTATTTTATCCAAAAAGCTCTCATGGAGTATGTATACATATCTATATGTGCAAATATACTGACAAGAAATGATTTGGGAAGCAAGCACATTTGTTGTGTGCTACTAGTCCACACCTCTACCCTGAATGGACAGATGGATGGATGGATAGATGGATGATCAGATAGATAGACAGATGGATGGATGGATGGAAGAATGAATGGATGGATGGTTGAATGAATGGACACATGAATGGATGAATGAATGAATGAATGAATGAATGAATGGATGAATGGATGAATGGATGAATGGATGAATGGATGGATGGATGAATGGATGGATGGATGGATGGATGGATGGATGGATGGATGGATGGATGGATGGATGGATGGATGGAAGAATGAATGGATGGATGGATGG